GTGCAACAGCAGCTTATCCTTATCGGAAAGCTTCAGCGATTCGACCCCATACATCATGGTTGTTCTTACACACGCCGAATAGATGACCAGCCGCTGCTTGATGCTCAGGTGCCGGGAGGAGTGTATAATCTTTGCCAGCCTCTGCCTTGTGAGTCCAGCTGCTTTTAGCCTGTGTTTGACTGCGGCTGTCTCATAGCCCTGATAAGAAATGATGATACCCAAGTATTTGGTTCGCTGGACAATAGGCACACGAAAAACTCTGACATCCTGACAGAATTGAAAGTGTGGCTTGCCCTCCAGAATAACCGTGTGTTTACGAAGCCACCTGGGTCCATGGGTACCTACCAGTCTTATAATGAGGGCACTCTTCTCAGGATTGATCTTCATGCCGTACTGCCCATACACCTCCATAACGGCAACTGAACTTTGGATGAAGAATCTAAGGTCCGCCTCTGTATTCAGTTCCCACGCACAATGAGTGTCATCGGCGTACAATGTCATTGCTTGCCGGGGCCACTCTGAATGCAGAAAGACCTCAAGCCGATGCACCAGGAAGGCACTGAACAAAGCCCACAGCAAAGGTGCTAGGGTGCACCCCTGCCTCACGCCATTGCTCATATCTACGTAGGCAGTATAGCCCTCGTGATCTATCTTGTACCGACATGCGCAATGAATCTCCAGAATCATTGATGTTAGGCATGAGTCCACCCCTGCCCATTGTAAAGAGTCCTGCAAAGACTGCCTTGGCAGTCTATCAAATGCAGTGGTCATGTCGAGCGTCAGCTGGGCCCCGCCAACATATCTACGTCTCTTGGTTCCCGCTCTCTTGTTGTAGATGTTGCGCCTGTCCGTGGCCAGCTTGCTGCGGATGCGGGAGCAGTGCTGCTCGACACGCCGTATAGCGTCTACTGTGGAGCTTCTTTTCAAATAGGCAAACTGCGGATACTCGGCCAAAACCGGTTGTATTTGTTCTAGGAGCCGTTCCTTGAGTACCCTGGCTATGGCCTTACCTGCTGCATCTTGGATTCCAAGTGGCCTCAATGATTCCGGCCTTTTGATAGTCTTACGCGGCTTGGGAATAAGAAGCTAAACAACAGTCTGCCCATCTGGAGGAAAAGCCTGCCACCGACTCATAGTGAAACGCCTCCGTCAGCGGTCCACATAGGTCCTGCCTGCAATACTTCCAGACAGATGAGGGGGCATGTCCCCATGGCACTGCCTTTCCTGCTCCCAGCCTGCCCAATGAGGCTTGCAGCTCCCCTGGGTAGAGAAGAAGAGGATCCAGCCTGGGTTCAGGCTCCACATCATGTGGACTTCCATTGAATAGTTTCTGAAAGTACGCCAGGATCTCGGCGTGTTCTTCGCGAGGGGAGAGAACGTCACCTGTTTCGGTTCTTATTCGCACCCTTCCACCCTGCGTCTTGGGAGCAACCGACCTCACCACCGCGTAAAGCAGCCGAACGTCCTTGTTCTGCTCAGCCTGGGTAGCAAGCTCCAGCTTCCTTTGTAGTAGCTGCTTACGGTGCCACGGCGCCGTACCTCTCGATAGCTGCTCTGGAAAACAGCATAGGCTCGAGAGGCATGCAGCACCTGTCGCTTGGAAAAGAGGCCCAATCTGACGTTCCTGCCCACTCTCTGCATCTCCCGCCTGCGCCGCCACATCGTGCAGAGTGAGGTCTGTACATCCCCTTGTTGCCACGGTCGTAGAGCAGCTTCCTTGCGCACCGGCGGAAATTGATCAACGCAAGCTTGAAGCAGGATGGAATTCAAGCTGTCAGCCGTGTGTTGCTCTGCCTCCCGGAGGGCATTCTTCACCCGCTCCCGTAAAGCCTCCGCCCGAGCATCCCCTTTTGTAGAGACGCTTCCAGGCCCGGTTTGTCAAACTGAGGTGCAGGCTTTGTGCGATTCTTGACCACGGTCCAGCCCGGCTTGAGTGGAACTGATGCTTCCAATGGCCTGTGTCGAGCACCGAGTCTCCAAGGCGAGAAATCCAGATGTAGGAGAGGGCGCGCCTCCCTTGATAGTGAATCGGCCTGAAATCTCCTTGTCATGATGAAGTCAATCTGACTCTTCTGAGAGCCATTTATGAAGGTGTGCATGTCATTCCCGGAGGGCTTACACCATGTGTTGAGCATGCATAGGCTATGGGCCTGCACAAAACCCATAAAGTCGTCCTGGTCGAAGTAGTAGCTGCTAGGCCCCGTCGCCGTTCGGCCAGCATACCCCTGCACCAGCATACCCCTGCAACCTCTTAGCCGAGCAATTAAAATCACCGGCTATTATCAAAATGTTTCTCTGAGGCAACGACGACGTGTACCTCCCCAGCTGTGTCCAGAAGTGCTCCCGCTTGGAGGCATTCTGAGTCCGAGCCTCCCTGTTCGTGATCACGTGCTGATAGCAAGACAGAAGGTCAATGCCGTAAGCGTCCCCACTCAAACGAACATGTAGCAGCCTGCCTGGTATCACAGCCGCACTTCGAGCAGTGTAGTGCTCCGCCACTGTGGTTCGTATGGCTATAGCCACCCCTGCAAAGCGGGAAGAGGGATCCGGCGAGCTAACAAAAGTCCACTGACCTGCCTTCCACTCCGCCGGCTCCGAGCCAAATCCTCTGTGTGTTTCCTGCAGGAATATAATGTCGTAAGGTGCTGTCTGCATCCACTTCACCATGTGATCATACACCACTGTCGTCATTCCATCTAGGTTGGCACAGAGCACACGAAGTCGCCTTGATTCCCTCCTAGGTTTACTTCGCGCCCCTGCGTGCTGTGGAAGTCGTATATTTTCAAGTTCGTCAGAAGTAAAAAGTTTGCCCCTGTAAAAAGTGCTACCGCATCTCATTGCACGATGCACCGCCCGCCTGAAGGATCGCTTCCTCGTCGCGGACAGGTTGGCAGCACCAAGCTTTCCTCCGGATAACCCGCAATTTTTCGCACCGGCCGGAGCCGATGTTTGCAAAGGTCCTGGAGGTGGGCCTTTAACCCTCGCATCTGTAGTGGCCGACGTCAAAGAAGGTCCTGTCATGATAAGGATGCACCAGAATATAAAAGCTGTGCAACCTCGTCGGCCACCACCCCGGGAATTGGGACCCGGGCGGCTCTGATATGTTCTTCTTGTTGGCGCTGCATTGTATTCTGAACGTCTCGTCATAAGTGGTCTAAAGCTGTTATTGTAGCTTGGCTGCATGATCTCTGTGAGGTCCCGACCTGAAACTTGAGGAGCGACACCCTGAGAGTACCGTAGAGAGTACCGTCCGACGATGTGGTAGAGGGCCTGGATCAGGTACTATATGCAATTCAGGAGGTGGAAAAGATCCAGCGTCACAAGCGTAGCTGCTGCAACCAATTGTTTTCCAGCCAGTGCAGAGTGCTCCCTCCAATTGCCAGCCGCATTGGGCGCAATTGCATTAGCGACCACTTTAGTCCTTAGTCTGTTCCCCAAATCCATAGTCAGTCCCCGGTTGGAGAGCCTGAGCTGGGAGAGAAAAGCGAGGAAAGGTTGCTCTCGCGTTCCTGATCAGGCTCCAGCTCCTCTCCCCCCCGCCCTTCGTCCCCTGACTCCCGGCTGAGGTCGGACGCGAAAGGGTCAAACTCAGAGGCCTCTTCCTCTCTAGCCTCCTCCATGAACTCATCAACCGGGTTCCTGTTGCAGCGGGTAGTCCTGTCACAGGACTGTACTTCCTGTCGGTCTCGTCGGCTGCCGGTTGCCCAAGTCGGCGTACCCTCCAAGGCCCTAAGGCGTTCCCTGTACTCGATCTCCTCCGAGTCCATCGAATCGTGAGAGGCCGGAGATGCTGTATCCAGCTCGCCTTCGCGAGCACCCCGTTCAACTCGGACAGGAACAGGCGGCGGCGGACCACGAGGAGGACTTCGGGCAAGTCTATGCCCTTCCGAGCTTCCTCTGCCTCTTTCGTTCGGCAGCAGTCGCGCCCGGCCCCGGATTGGGCCTCTTCCCGGTCTCGTCCTCGAGTTGGAGGATCGTCTGCGCCTGCTTCTGCTTCGGGGACGCCAGCTTCCGGATCTGGCGCAGCCTCGTCGCTCGCCCTTGCCGTATTCGAAGCAGCCATAGGGGGAGCTG